CTCCGACTCAAGCCACTGACCCCCCCCCACACTCCTCTCTCGCACAATAACCGGAAAAGGCTGAGCTCCATTAGACCAACACTGAAGGCCGACGAGAGAAAATAGCAACACTTTCCACAACATCATGTTATTGATGTCAGCAATAATCACAGTCGGAGCAGAAATGAGAGTGGAGATATCGTATGTGGGACAGTATGTGTGTGGGATTGCCAAAGTACCCCCCAAACATGTTTACACAACATGGTGGCGTGCAGATTTCCCTGTTTCCTTTAAGAGTTTGTGTTGTTTTGAGACGGAGAGCAGCTCACTCTCTCCTGTGTGAGCATGTGCTGCTTCTGACACTCTGAAATGTGTGTGTCAGATGCAGAGAAGATAGTATGAACAGAAAGCAGGTGTGTACTTTGGACTGGTGATTTTCCACTGGTTTCTGCCAAGACACCAAAGGATCAATCCACTCTCGGGAATAAGTGGTATCTCTCAAAGCTAATTGTTTTAGAAGTGCCTCAAAGCTTTGATGGCACTTCAAACATACTGAACTTTCTTTATCAGATCACTAAATGAGCACCCTGTCAATATCTTCACAGTGGAAATCAAAAGAGCGGAACATACTTCTTCTCCGTCTTTTTTTTCTTATTATTCTTAATCTTTATACTTCTTGGTCTTCTTGTTATTATTATTATTATTATTATTATTATTCTATTCGACTACAGTTTCTTTGTACAGTGTTTGGAGAGCAGTACGCTGAGTTGAATGCTAGGCTGGTGTGAGTTTATTTTAATTTTTTTACAAGAACTGAAGAATAGAATTGGGAGGGATGAAACCCTCTTTAATGGTCACACATGCAGAGCACACAGCACACACAGTGAAGTGTGTTCTCTGCTTGTAACCCATCCTAGTACCAGGAGTCTAGTACTAGGAGCAATGGGCAGCTATTGTACAGCGCCCGGGAGCAATGGGAGTGGGGGGGTGGTGTATGTTATCGTCAAATTGGCATATCAAGTAAATATATGTGCTGGCTGTTTGTCCACATAATCATAATGGCTGTTTGTAAGATCTATTCAGAGTACATACTGTATATTTGTTGTGATTATTTGCGATCTGCATGCCCTGAACACCTGAGACCTGCTGCTGATGAATGTATGCTGATGTCCATACATTCAATCAAAAGCCAATCTACACCAACATGCCCTACCCCCTATCCATCTTTCTTCAGACACTGATTTTGAGTTATTCCATATGTGGCAACACATTGAAGCTGCCTCAGATTGTCCTCGGCTTCACGTATCAGAGAAACAATCTTCCGTCAGTAATTCCCTGATTTCAGCAACCTTATGGTTATGAGAAACTGCTGATGGCCAAAAGACACCAACGTTTGTTCACACAATATATGTACGTAATTCATTATTCTTTAAATATTGTTCTTCTAGTAGGACCCAGATACTCATTCAATGTGATTATTTAAAGGGGGCCTATTATGCAAATTGTTCAGGTTCATATTTTTATTTAGTGTCTCTACTGTGACATGTTTCCATGCTTTAATGCTCAAAAAAATCTTTATTTTTCTCATACTACCTGTGCTGCTGCACCTCTTTTCACCCCCTGTCTGAAACCAGAGCCCAGTCTGCTCTGATTGGTTTGCTGGTCGGCTCTGTTGTGATTGGTCAACCATTTTAGAGAAGTCCCCGCCCTTAGCTTATCACGTACAATGTGATGGAGTGCCAGCCAATAGAAGCGCAAGTGTTACATATTTGTGATGTCACTATGTTACGTGTGTGGGAGAGAAACTCCCTCTGGAGAGAACTCTGTGATTGTAGCCTGTATACACCTATATTACACACTAAGGAAAGGGAAAACCCCCCAAAATCCTAATAGAGCCCCTTTGACTGTGTATGATGAGTTTTCAGTCTGTCGTTGTCTGAGGTCAATATCTTATTTTGGAACTTCCCTATGTCGCAGGTAATTTAATTTATCTATTTTCCTTTTTGCTTATTGTTGGCACTTCAGTATCAAATCAAAAATGACATTTTGAGATTTACTGTCTGCCTTTTCCTGCTTTTCATAATGTCATCCTTTACAGCAACAGCCATGACATTTATTTCTCTGGAGAATATTAGGCTCAGTATTTCTTTTCTAAACTGATTGATGGGTATGATTTTTTGTGTGTGTGTGTGTTAGAGATGAGGAGTCGTGTTCAGGTGTAGAAGTCATGGCGAGGCCGGTGATGGCCTGGAGCCAGAGCGGCCGAGAGGCAGGACACACAGCAGGGAGGACAGAGTGACATAGCCCCAGGACAGAAACACCAAGATGGCTATTTAAATGAGTCACACCCAGACAAACGGCACACTTGCATAAAAGGACAAACGAGCTCATTCAAAGACACAGGGTTATCTGAAATAGAAACACACTTGTGCACGCGCACACACACACACACACACACACACACACACACATACACATACACATACACATACACACACATTCTCATGCACTATGTTTTTACCTTAAGGTCAGCGCACAGCCATTCTTTAATCAGAGAAGAGAAACATGTCCACATCACAAATCACAGCTTCTCAAAATAGTTCTTCCCTTTCATCTTCCCCTCTACGACGTTTCCCCTCCCCTCTCTCCCAAAGCAAGCCCCATCATCAGCGTGACGAAACATCAGCATGACGATGACAACCACACACACTCACACACACACACTATTGGCACGCATTGCATGACCAGTTTTTGCTGCTATCTCAATTAAAGCAATGTCTGTGATGGGATGAGTCTTGATCAGTGGAAGCTGGGTCACTTTGATCTATCCACACACGTCACATTAAGCGAACTGACTGACTATCCTGTGATGGGAGGAAAAAAACATTCAGCCAGTTTTACCAGTCAGGCTGCAGCTCACACAAATTATGATAAGACATTTTACCTAAACATTTCATTATTTGTATGTAGCCCACAGCAGCAGCTAGTTGTACCCATTCCTCTTCATCCGTATCCACCTCCAGGGGCCTTATGCTAATTTCCTGCTTCATATTTGTACTTTGTGTCTCTACTGTGACATGTTTACATGCTTTAATGTTCAAAAAGCTCTCATACTGCCTGTGCTGCAGCACCTCTTTTCACCCTCTGCCTGAAACCAGAGCCCAGTCTGCTCTGATTAGTCAGCTGGCTGGCTCTGTTGTGATTGGTCAACCCTTAAAGATGTCCCGCCCCTTAGCCAATTACGTACAGTGTGTTGGAGAGGTAGCCAATATGAGTGCAAGTGCTACATATTAATGTTACTATGTTCCGGAAGTAAACAAAGGAGTCCAATTGAGGTTTTTCAGGCAGGGGGGGAAGTGTGTGGGAAAGAAACTCACCCTTTTTAGCCTTTGCAGACCATTTACATGCAAAAAACCTATATAACACTAAGGGAAGGGGAAAACCCCAAAAGCATAAAAGGGCTTTTTTAAAAGAAAGGAATATCTTTGAAATGTAATGCATGTGGCTTGCTGCTTTTAATAGGCAGTACGGCAGAGGAAATGGCTCTTAATCTGTTTCCTTCTGCAGCACCATATGTGCTGCATGTTTACAAAGCAGATCTTAGTTTGGTGAGCCTGTGTAGTGTTATAATACCGTTCGTCTGCGTCGGCATGTTCAGACAGGAGCCGCTTTGCTCCGACTCGTTTACATTCCTGAGACAAACAGGACAGCAGAAAAGTAGACGCCGTTTATTTTTCTGTCATCTCTCCTTCGGCTTCCCTTAAATCTGCCAGCTTCCCTTCTCTTCTCCCTCTCTTTGAAAATTATTTCTCATCAGCTGCATTAATCTGACATACGCAGGCCGTATTTGGCCTACAGTGACGCATGTGTAAGATGTAGAAACACGCACACACTGGAGCACACACACACACACACACACACACACACACACACACACACACACACACAGGTGATCGAGGTGTTTGCAACAGAGGCAGGGTGGAACCTCTAAGCTGAGTACAAAGTGGCACAGACAGAAACACAGAGAAACCGACAGACTGCTGATAGAGGGAGGGCAAAATACAGTATGCAACAGATACGGCCCAGAGGTGTGTGTGTGTGTGTGTGTGTGTGTGTGTGTGTGTGTGTGTGTGTGTGTGTGTGTGTGTGTGTGTGTGTGTGTGTGTGTGTGTGTGTGTGTGTGTGTGGCTGCTTTATCAGTAAAATACCCAGCAGAGCGAGCAGTGTGCTTGTTCTGCTCAAGGTGAGGCTGGGTTTGGTCTTCTTAGCTAATGGTGAGTTTTAGCCATTATATAATGTTACATTACTGTAAAGGTTAATTCTGATAAGCCTTCATCCACTGTGCTAAAACAATAAGGCGGTGTCCACAATCACTCCCTATTTATACTGCGCTATAAACTGAGAGTAAACTATTATGTAGGGAACAGTGAGTGAACCAGGATGTGGTTTTTACCACAGGGTTGTTTGATTTATTGGTCTTTTTAAAGGGCAACATACTACAGTTAATGATTAATCAGCTGATCATTTTATTGATCAATCAATCCACAATTTGGTTTATAAAATATTAAACCTTGAAATTACATAAGATCATCCTAAAGACCGAGATGATGCCTTTATATCGCTCTATCTTGCTAAATGAACAGTTCAAACACACAACAATAAAATACAGTTTTCATCACAGTTCACTTTCAGACAAAGAGAAGTGTCTCATGTGATTGTTTTTCAATTCTGACGAACACACATAATCTGCTTGTGTTTTTCAGCTTGAGAGCAATTTAATGATCAGTATTTAACTGCGGCTCATAGAAATTGTGATGATAATTGTTCACCATTTTTCTGGCATTTTACACACTAAATAATTTCTGGCTTTATTGTAAAATGTGAACAGTAGATTTTGTATATCAGCAAGTTGCAACCCATTAATTTTAGCCTGTTGTCAAACCGCGAAATGCAAAGTTGGGGTCAGCAGAGGCTCACAATAATAGTACAATATCTAAAAATGAATGTGTTAATTATTGATGTAAACATATTGTAATACACATGTATTTTTACGCGGGCTGGACATACGACATGCATATTGCCCTTAACACATCCCATTCAGGCCCTTATACCCCTAGCAGTGATTTAGGATGCACATTGCGGGTGTGTAGCGCTGCTTTTCCGTTTTGAGGAAGTGTTAGAGTATCTAGCCATTGAGCTCCACTTAACTGTCTTAAAAGTCTAAGCTTTCCATGTAGTCTAGAAGCTGTTCCACTGATCTTTAATCCCTTCAAGCTTTCTCCTACTTATCTGCTCCATGTTTTTTCCCTTCTTCAATTCTCTTCTATATGCACACTCGCTCTTACTGTTGCTCATTTCTTTTTCTTTCCAGTTGCTGTAGCTTAAATGGAAAGGAGATGACTAGTGTTCTCCTACTTATCTCAGCTTTCGTGTCCACCCTCTGAAACACTGCATCAGGTTGTAGTTATTGGATTACCTTGGACTAATGATAATTTAAATCAATGGTCTTGGCATTGTTGACCTAACGCAGCGAGAGTACAGTGAAGTTGATATGACAAAGCTCAATCGTTTTAGCATCGTATTGATCAGGATGAATACGGTGAAGGTTTCGTCCCTGGGAACGCCTGATAAATACATGCTGTTGTTTGTTTCCCTTCCTGCCTCTCTCTGTCTCCCTCCTTTAATCATGCCTTTCTGTCTCTCTCTCTCTCTCTCCAAACCACTCTCTCCTCAGACGAATACAAGATGAAGGGCGTGGAGGAGGTGAAGTACATGAGAGGGGATGAAAACCGGGTGAACGCTCGCAACCAGGAGAACCTGGTGAGAGACACACACAGAAACACACACCATTATTTCAACTGACAGCCTGTCACCCACACTCAGACCTTCTTCTCTGACAGTTCAAGCAAACAAGCTCGTGTTTGTGTCTAAAGGCATCTCTGGTCAGCCTGCACATACACACTCATTGTCTCTTGTACACGAGCCTCACACGCAGGTAGAGACAACATGCTGGCGTGTGAGGAATGTGGGGGCTGATCACTCGGCTGGTTTGACTCCCTTCCTGCAAAATTGTGGTCTAAAACATAACAATAATTACCTGCTTAACCTGGCTATCAATCCCCTATTGCACATTCAGCGTGCAATGTATAAAACGTGGGCATGTTTACATCCTTTCAACACACTTAATGTCTGAAAAGTGTAATGGGTTTCAAGTAAGACGTCTTTTGCTTATTCAGTAAATCAGTTCAGTCTCAGTGGCGTCCTGGCAAGTTGTAAAACAATAACTAATGCAACCATATATCCTGATTTAAGATAAGATACATCTTTATTGATCCCATAAAAGGATTATGGTTATTGCAGCAGCATAAAGACAACCTTGTATATACTGATAAATAAAGAAGGTAAAAGAGGAATACAATTAAATTAAATACAAAAGCAGTGTCAAGCTGCAGCTAATTGATATGAATGCAGCTCAGAAGCCAGCCTGACATGATATGGACATCGACAAATCTGAAATGAAAGGTACTGCAGCACAGGAAAGGCAGAGATTATGTGCAAATAAATCAGACCAATTATGCTCGAATTACAGTGGGATGATTAGCTGTGATTAAAATGATCCAACAATGATTTAAAGACGTGAGGTGACGTTCCTAGTATCACTGGATTGTTTTTCTTCTACAACAAACACACAGCAGGATTCATTTTATTGCAAATGAAACACATGTTTGAAGTGCGTAAACTGTTTAAAATGGCTGCTTGTCTTGTTTTCTAATGAGAGGTATGTTGTTTAGTTGAGTTATGTAAGCCCCAAACCACAATTTTACACAGTCCCTGGTTAGAGCAGAATTTGTTTCCCATAACTTGTCATTACTGAAGCTGTAAGAGACACACACACACACACACACACACACACACACACACACACACACACACACACACACACACACACACACACACACAGTTGTATAAGACCTGCGTACATTGCACCTGTACCTGATAGCTGATGGCGGTTCTGCAGTAGCAGCTGAGCGAGGACATGATTTAATAACACAGGTTTGATTTGACATGTCCTCTCAGTGGTGTGGCTGTTAGCTGATATGAGTTGTTTGTTTTCTGCCTGTTTTATCGGTTTATAATGAAAACTAATTGTGTGTGTGTGTGTGTGTGTGTGTGTGTGTGTGTGTGTGTGTGTGTGTGTGTGTGTGTGTGTGTGTGTGTGTGTGTGTGTGTGTGTGTGTGTGTGTGTGTAGGAGAAAAGTAATGTGCAGTACAGAGGCAAACCGCAGAAGGAGGTTTCTTCAGCAAACATCAAATCAAAGTAAGTCTCCAGCAGCAGTCTGCTTACTGAAATACAAGCCTTATGGATATTGTATCAAAATAATTCCATCTCAGTATTATGCAACGCTCCAAATAAGAATGATATGAGTCATTGCTTTGTAATCAGCTTTCATTTAACTGTAAATATATTACTGTTTAGATTTTTGTGTTTCTATTATGTGTATTGATTTATTTTGTTTCTTTTATTTTTTATTCCTGTTTATTTTCTTGTTTATTTGTTGTGATGTACCTGTATTCTATGTAAAAAATAAGATTTCATATTCTAAGCAACTTACATCCTTGAACACAAAACACAAAAGTGTTAAATAAAAAGTATTCCGGGCAGCTCTGATAACATTAACGCTTGGTCACAAGTAGAGGTACAGTTTTTACAAAAAGGGAAACTCATGCTGTAGCCATCCAGTTTTTTATTTAATTTTGTGTAACTTTATAAGGTTAACAGGAAATAAAGAAAATACACATAAGAAAAAACGATAGTTATGCATGTTGTGTTAATATCATTTTGCCAGATCACTCTGATTGGTCCTCATAGGAGTCGCTACTTCCACAGAAAGTAGTTCCGGTGAAAACTGAAACATTTGTTTATAATCATAACGCGTGGTGATTTGCCTGAACTGACCCTTTTAATAAACCCAGCGTCCAATAACTTTAAGGATCGGTATGTTAATATTCTGATGTGTGAAGTAAGCGATATTATGTGTCTGGTTTTCATAACGCTGCCTCTTGGACTGTGTGTGTGTGTGTGAGACTGTGTGTGAGACTGTGTGTGTGAGACTGTGTGTGTGACTGTGTGTGACTGGGTTAATGCTTTATAAAATAATCATTTAAATTCCTACGCAGCCTTTCTCACACTGCAGGGAGGCTTGTGTGTGTTTGTGCTGTGTGGGGGGCGTAATGGAAAATTCTCATGATGTATTTGTTGCCTCCCTTCTCCTCGTCTCCAATCTCTAACTTCCTCTCCCCCTCTTGCTTTTCTTTTTTTCCTCTCCCTCAGTATTCACACGTCAGAGAGCCAGCAGGAATTTTTCAGGATGCTGGATGAAAAGATTGAGAAGGTGAGGGACGTGTGACTGTGTGTGACTGTGTGTGTGTGTATTTTTTTGTTGGCAGAAGCCGGGGGTTACAGGGGCTCAGGGCGTTTAAAGAAACAGCTGTGTCTTGACATTTAAAGAGACAGGCTCTACAACAACATCCATTATTCCTCATTGTCACACTGTTTCGCTCCACATTTGTGAGGGGGGGGGCATCGCTGCAGTGATGAGCACTTACTCTGCCACTTGAATCACTCCCGTTATCTCTGACTGTACATGAGGTAGCAGAGTGAAATTAAACTGAGTAATTCATCATTGTGTAATCAACTTGTATCTTAAATTTTCCATAGGTAGGTATATCAAATTCCAATAGCTGTCAGGTAAATGAATTAGAGTAAACATTTGAATTCCATTTGAATTGGAAATGGAGTAAATTAAATATATAAAACAACATGAAATAACAATTTGGGAACATGCTTTTTTGGAAAATATACTTAGTTTCCTCCCTCCACTGATTTTCAGCGTAACACTGCCTTGGTTTTAAAGCATCAAATGAGCTGTTAGACAAGAAGTTCATTTAGCTCTTCACCATGATGGAAGAAACAAAACAACACACCTGTCGGCACTTAACGGCAATTTCCTCTTCAAGTAGCTGCAAATAGACAAGGGGTTTGTTCAAAAGTGACTTGAGTAACAGGTGCGTCGGCGTTTGCTGAATTTAGATATGTCAGAACGAGACATTTAAAGTAGGTTGTTTCGGAGTAAATTTAAGTAGAGCACATTAGAGTAAAAAAACATTAAAATTATGCACATCTAATTTTCTCTCCCTTTTTTTTGCAGGGGCAGGACTTCTGTTCGGTGGAGAAGGAGGAACATGGGACATAGCAAAGAGGGCCCCCAAGGTCCACCCCAACAGAGCCTCCCAGTGCGTGTGTGTGTGTGTGTGATATATATGCGTGCTCGTGTGCCTGAGAGAGTTGAATCAGTGGTTAACCAATGGGGCGTTGATATGATGGGACAAAGTATGTGTTGGTTAAGCATGTGTGTTTTTGGACGTATGGCAAAGATAGTATTTTAATGGAAAGTGAAAGAGTGGGGAATAAATGTGAGAAAGAGAAAGAGAGATATATGGATACTGGAAGACTTTTCCGGAGAGTCTACAGCCCTCCTCAGACCCTCAGGCCCCCAACAGATGGATGAAAGGTGAAGATGGAGGACGATGTGACAGGAAGAATAATTTCCACAAGCAGGACAAGAGAATCCCTCTATCTGACCCTTCGTATCTGTCCGTCTGTACCCCCGCGGTTCGATCCTGAACATTTAACTCTTGCAAACGGACAAAGGTACTCCCAAAATGGAAGCCCAGAGAGGACAAATGTCTTTGGTGGGTGCGTGCTGGACTGAGAGACTCACAAGTGAAGAGGAGAGGAAGCGCTGGCAGGAAAAGATGGCAAAGCCAGAGGAGTTACGTAACACCGCCGGGATCCATACTGAACTTTTACGGCCTGCCTACTTCCAGCCAGGCCGGCCATGAGGGACTGAGAGAATGGACGAGGGCGTCTGAGGGATGAAAGAGTGAAAAAGCGATATTTTAATAAGAAAGAGTAGGGAGCCAGCAGATGAATTGCAAACTCAAAACTCCTCCTGCCTTCTAAAGTCAAGGGCCTTTTTTTTTTTTAGACAAACTTTTTTTAATTCTGTTTCGCAGCCACTTTTTCAGTTTTTTGTTTCTTTTTCTGATGATGTTTTCTCCTGTTTGTCTTACTCTTGGCTTCCTTCGTAGTGTATCATCATCATCATCATCAACTCCATTATCATCCTCCTCACTACAGCAGGCAGACTGAAGCTGTGTTAATTCAGAGCATCTGAACATCCTCCTCCATGAACCATAACAGTGAAGATCCTAGGGTGAAACACACATACACACACCTATACAAACACATATACAAACAAACATGGATTTTTTTATTGTACATATCGTAGCACACTCATTCCAACACATCTCAGTATGTACATACAAACCACACACATTATTGTATAATTTCACCAGCAGACGCTCGTGTGTGTGTGAAGATTTCCTGTAAAGCTCTATTTCTGCTTTGATTCAGTGTTCACACACACACACACACACACACACACACACACACACACACACACACACCCACCCAGGCTGAGCTCGAGAGGAGG